TGGGGCCATAGAAAGCAAAGGGTCCCCCCTTTGCTCCCACAAACTCTCAAGATAACTCTGGTGGTGTGAGGTCTTTCTGCTTGCCATCTGACATGGATACAGAAAGACTGAATAATTCCTTTATAGATCGCATTGAAATAAGAAAAAAATAAAAGTATTAAAACTTATTTGAAAACTAAATTAATTAATCCTAAAGAACTGGTGGATAAAAGCAAAAAATATTTTTAAAAAATAGATAATTTCATGAAAAGATCTGAAACCCTTACCCCTTTTAGACCTATGAGCGCTGCCCCCAGATCCCTTCCAAAGCCCATGTAAAGAGTTATCTGTCCATCAAGATCCTTGAATCCCTCAGAGGAAAATAAAATGGAAAGTCTACCTTAAAAAAAAAATCAATAACCTCCTCAACTAAACACAAAAATGGAAATTCTGAAAATCGAAGAAATAGATTGAGAAAAAAAAATCCTAGAAGCTAGTTCCAGAGGGGGGAAAAACTAACAAAACAGATAAGCTGTAAATTAAAGAATGACTAATAAAATAGATGGTCTAACTTGAATTTTTAAAAGGTAGAAAACTTGATTTACCTATACAAAAAATGAAAAAAAGTATTCATAACAAATGAGGAGACTTACTAGAAAATATTTTCTACTCATGAGTGTTGAGTGCAAATTGAAGCATAATTTTCTCACTTTTTAAAGATTATTTTGTGATATGGCTAATATGGAAATACATTTTTACATGATTTCATATACATAATTGATATCATTTTGCTTGCCTTCCCAGTGAATGAAGTAGGTTCTTAATAGTTGAGGGATGGATAGGGGAGAAGGAAAGAACTTGAAACTCAAAATTTAAAAAGAAAAGAATGTTTAAAAATAAGTAAATTCATTTTTTAAAGGAAAATATTTTCTGACAGCAATGTTGTAATGATAATTGAATGCAAAAGATTTAGCTACATTGATAAATGCAATGATCCATGATACTTCCAAAGGACACATGATGAAAAATCCTATCCCCCTCCAGAGAGAGAACTGATGAACTCTGAGTGCTTATTGAAGTCTATTTTATTTAACTTTCCTTATTTTTCTTGCTTTTCTTTTTTTGCAGCATGGGTTTTTTGTAGCATTCTGTTTTGCATGACTGCATGCATATAATGGATACCACATTTCTTGACTTTTTAATGAGTAAATATTACTGAGAATAGTAAGATTGGCACAAAGTAAGAAAGCTCATTATCAACATTATTATTCAATATTGTACTATAAATGCTAGCCACAGAAATAAGAAAAGAAAAATAAATAGAAGGAATTAGAATAGGTAATGAGAAAACGAAAGTATTGCTTTTTGCAGATGATAGGAGGTCTACTTAAAGAATCATAAAGACCCCACTAACAACTAATTGAAACAATTAACAACTTTAGCAAATTTGCAAGATATAGAACAACCTCCCCTAAATCATCAACTTTTCTATATTTTATTAACAAAGTTCAGCAGGAAGAGAGAGAAAGAAAGCTTCAATTTAAAATAACTACAGATAATATAAAATACTTATTCATCCACTTGCCAAGACAAACAAAACATTTTTACATGAACAAAGAGAGATATAAACAATTGAAGAAATATTAATTCCTCCAAATATTAATAGCTTCAGCCAATATGATAAAAATGACGGGTAAATTAATTGACTTATTCAGTGCCATACCAATCAAACCACCAAGAAAGCATTTTATATAGCTAAAAACAAATAATAACAAAATTCAGCTGGAAGAAAAAATGGTCAAGAATATCAAGGGAATCAATAAAAAAATGTGAAAGAAGGCCTCACAGTACCAAATTTCAAATTATATTACAAAGTGGTAATCATAGAAACAATGCAGTACTGGCTAAGAAATAGAGTGGTGGATGTGTGGAATAGATTAGGTACACAATACATAGTAGTAAATGACCATAATAATCTTGTGTTTAACAAACCCAAAGATTTAGGCTTTTAGGGCAAAACTTGACAATTTGATAAAAATTGCTGGCAAAACTGGAAAGCAGTTTGGCAGAAACTAGACATAGACATATCTCACACCATACCAAGATAAGGCAAAATGAGTCCATAATTTAGCAATTAAGAGTTATACCATAAGTAAATTATGGGAGCTTGAAAAAATTTTACCTCTTAGATTTATGGATAATGGAAGAATTTACAACCAAACAGGAGATATGTAGGATCAACACAATGTAAAATGGGCAATTTTGATCACATCAAATTAGAGGTTTGCACAAACAAGACCAATGTAGTCAAGATTAGAATGAAAGCAGGAAACTGTAGGAAATTTTTCACAGCAAGTTTCTATGATAGTCTTCATTTCTCAAATATACAGGGAAATGAGTCAAATTTAGGGGGAGGTACGTGGCTCAGTGGATAGAGCACTGGGTTTGAAATCAGGAAGACTCATGTTCATGAGTCCAAATCCTGCCTCAGACACTTATTATCTCTGTGAGCGTGGGGATTGTAACTTAACCCTGTTGCCTCAGTTTTCTCATATGTAAAATGAAATGGAAAAGGAAATGGCAAACCACTCCAGCATCTTTGCCAAGAAAACCCCAAAGAGAGTCATAAAGAGTCAGATATGACTGAAATGACTGAACAGCAAAGAATCAAATTTATAAAAATAAGAGCCATTTCTAATTAAGAAATGGCTATGCAATATGAGCAGGCAGTTTTCAGAAGAAATCAGAGCTGTCTATAGTCATATGAAAAATGTTTTAAATCATCATTGATCAGAGAAATTCAAATCAAAACAACTTTGAGGTATCACTTCATACCTATCAAATTGGCTAACATGATAGAAAAGGAAAATGACAAATGCTAGAGGGAATGTGGAAATATAGGGACACTAATGCCTGGTTGATGGAGTTGTAAACTGGTCTAACCACTCTGGAGAGCAATGTGTAATTATGCCAAAAGGACCATAAAACTGTGTGTACTCTTTGATTTAGAAATACCAGTGCTAGGTCTGTGTCCCAGAGACATCACAGAAAAAGGGAAAAAATATGTATAAAAATATTTATAGCAGCTCTTCTTGTGGTGTCAAAGAATTGGAAATTGTGGGGATGCCCATCAATTGGTGAATGGCTGAACAAGTTGTGGTATATGATTGTGATGGAGTTGTGCTATAAATGTGATGAGCAGGATGATTTAAGAAAAATGTGGAGTAATCAGAACCAGAAGAATGTTGTACACAATAACAGCAATATTGTAAGGATGATTCTCTGTGAAAGACTTAATTACTCTAATCAATAAATGATCCAAGACAATTCCAAAGGACTTACAATGAAAAATACTATCTACCTTCAGAGAGAGAAGTGATGAAGCCTGAGTGCAGATGGAAGCATACTTCTTTCACTATTTTTTTCCCTTTATTTTGCAACATAGTTAACACGTGTTGCTTGATTTCGCATGTATAAATGTATTTCACATTTCTTGTCTTTTAAATGGAGGGAGAAAAGCAAGAATGAAGGAAGTATTTGGAACTCAATTTTTAAAAAAAATTTAAAAATTAAAAAAAAAGTTTTAAAAAATGAGTATTAAAAATAAATAAATAATTAAAGGGAAAAAAAAAGACTCCCAAATGAAGAGAAACAAATACATTGGAATCTTGAATCTCAGAAAATACAACTGAACCAGGGTTGAGATTCATTCATTCATTCATGAAGGCAACTAGGTGGCACAGTGGACAGAGCACTGTGTCTAGAGTCAGGAAGAACTGAGTTCAAATTTAATCACAGACCTTTAGTGTCTCTGTGCAAGTCACTTAACATCTATTTATTCCAGTTTCCCCATCTGCAAAGAAGGATAATAACAGCTCTAACTTTCAGAGTTGTTTTAAGAATAAAATGAGTTAATTTTTTGGCATATTGTAGGTGATATAGATAGATAGATAGATAGATAGATAGATAGATAGATAGATAGATAGATAGATAGATGATAGGTAGATAGATAGATATACTTATTCCCTTGCCTTCTGTCCTTATTCAGCTCAACAAGAAATAATTATTAAGCACTTATTTGGACGCAAAAGATTGTTAGGTGCTTGAATTATAGAAACAGCCCCTGCTCTCAAGGAATTTACATTTAACTTGAATGAATTCTCATTTGTGTAGTCTAAGAAAATGGATGGTTCATTACCAAATTCTATAGCTAAGTGTTAATAGTTTTCCATATATTCTTTTGGATTCCATTTTAACCCCATGTAAGAAATGTTATGCTGCAGGGAATAAATTTTATATACCAGATGACAGCAAATAATAAGGGTTTAAAAGTATTCATTCAGCTATACTTTATGTAAATGTATGTAATCCTATAAGAGCTTTCTTTAGTATACTTCTGAGATATACTCCTAATCTTTCTTGGATGATGTTACAGTGGGCTACAACACCTGCCTACAAATTCTCCCTCACAGATGATGTCAGACAAAACCTTAAAGGGAAGAATCATTATTCTGAATTGTTGACCGTACCTCAATTATAAAATTATTTGAGAAACTGGAGATTGACTTCTCAGGAAGAAGCAGGGAAAAACAACTAGCAATGTCAATGTTTTTTACTTTTTTTTTTTTTACAAAGAGATTTATTTTAAAACACAGAAGCAATACTTTGCAGAATAAATAATGTTAGGAAAAATTAAAGGTGGAAACATGACTTAGATTTGAGAGACAGAATTTTTCATCTTCAGCAATTTGAAGAAAATTATGAATGGTGAAAGGGAAATCATGAAAAAGAAACTTTAACAAAAAGATTCTTGATAAGGAATTAGGCTTAATTTAGCTCATATTTGAAAGAAAAGAAAAGTAGCTGGTGATATCTCCTCAGTTCCTAGGATTGCTGTCCACTTGACTGATTTGGGCTGGGTTGATTTACATGAGTGCTCTCTATATTGCTTCACAGAATAAGGACAGACCAAGGCTTTGTTTCATAAGAAGCCTTGTACATGTGTCCATGACAGTTTATGGTCAGCAGCAGGAGGACCTGCAACAGGCTGAAGGGAAGCAGGTAGTTCTACAGCAAGTGGTCTGGCAGCAGGCGGGGCGGCAGCAGGGCTGGCAGCTGCTGGACACAGAGCAGCTGGGACGCCAGCAAGTTGTGCGGCAACAAGTGGTTTGGCAACAGGTGGGGCGATAGCAACTAGACTGGCAGCAGGAAGGGCTGCAACAGGTTGGTTGGCAGCAAACAGACTGGCAGCACGTTGGTCTGCAGCAGCTGGGGCGGCAGCAGGTGGTCTGCGAGCAGCAGGTAGGAGCACAACAGGTTTCTTGACAGAGGCCTTGGTCAGAGCAGATGGAACCACAACAGGAGTTGACCATGGTGCTGATGCACTGAGATTCTGGGTTGATTTCAAGGAGAGGGAGTTGTTATTTGAGTATGAAAGTCTCCTTGCCCCACAGACTTCTTATATATTGTCCTGAATGGCTAACATGGTCAAGTACAGATTATTTCCTTGTCATTGTTTTTCATGATGGAAAAGTGACTATTAAATTGAGATAATTTGTTTTAATCATGACAGAAAAATGTTATTCTCTTGATTACTTAAAATTCATTCATCCTCTTTTTCTTCTTTTAAATAAACTTTTCTATCTCATTTTTTTGGGTATGTAACCAGTAATTACCTTTTATCTTCCTTCCAATTCAGATTAATCAGATGATAATCTGACACCAGAACCTCAATGCATCATACAATATTCTCAGCTTTTTGCAGATCACCCCATGACTCATAGTGGGCTAAATTCATAAAGATAAAGATACTTTTATGGAATTATGGACTCTTCCATAAGGGCACCATCTGTTCCTTGGCTTAATTTCATATGGTTTACCATGTCTTCCAAAATAAAATGTATTTGGCCACTCCTTCCTGTGCCTCTGCTGACACTGAAAATATAACATGTTCCATCTGTGAGAGTTCTATTAATGATCCCTTGGTTCTGAACTTTTGAATTCTTCTCTCTAACAGGGCAAAGAATGAGACAGAAGAGAAAATAGTTGGAAGACCATGAAAATTCAACTCCCCAAAGGTGATTTTGTCATTGGAATGGTAGAAGGCATTTATGGTACAAGGTAGAAGCATTGGTGGTAATCTGCCACCATGGAATTAAGAAAGTGTCTATAGGGCTTGGTGAAGATGGGAGGTTGAGCATGTTGGACATTCAGGCCCTTGAAAAAATGTACTATGGAAGTCTGTTGGTGTAATAATGGAAGTGGAAGCAAAACTATGAGAGATGACAGCAAGGGGCGATATAGCTAACTAGAAATGGAAGCAAGGATGATCTCAAAAGTAGGCTGTAGATCTAGCTACAAGGGATTGATATAGGAAAGCAATGAAAGCTGATACATTTGACAGTGGTATGCATAGGCACTCAATGTCTACAGACAAGGAAAACATGCATCTTTTCTTAATTTCAAGGAAGGAGAAGGCAAATGAGAATTTTTCTATTTGGACTGTTCTGGAAGAAGACAAGTATGAGGTTGGACTCATTTACAGAGTAGTTGTTGAGACTAATTTTTTTTCCTCTTTCCTTTTTGACTCCAATTAAATGTTTTGTTGTTGTTGTTGTTTTAACTGACTCAATACTCTAAGGCTATTATTTTAGAATGATCAGGATTGTGTATCTAGACCTAAATGGACATTAGACTTGGAATCAGGAAAATGAATTCAAATTCAGACTGAGACATTTACTAGTTGTGTGACTCTGGGCATGTCACTCACCTTCTCTCTGCTTCACTTTCCTTGTCTGTAAAATGGGGACAATAATAGAATTTACCTCCCAGTGTTGCTGTGAGGATACAAATAAGGTAATGTTTTCAAAGCACTTTGAAAACCTTAAAATAATATTATTATTATTTCCAATCTTCACATATGGTTAGAGGATGTACTCATGAAAAAATGCCCACCGATTAATCAATCGAAATATTTATTAAGCATTTATTATGTGACAGGCACTGTGCTAAAAAAAAATTCAGGAATACAAAAAGAGGCAAAAGATAGTGCCTGACCTCAACCTCCACATTTTAGAGATGATAAATATGAAGCCCTGAAAGGGATGATGATTTGCCCAAAGTCAAACTGGTCCTCCAACTAAAAATCCAGTGATATCATCACTATACCACCTTCTACTCCTTCACCATATGCATAGAGAGGGTAGCTTTTGAGCTGGACCTTAAAAAATGTGTAGTAATTTAACAAATGGTGATGGAGAGGGAGGGAATTAGAAAATAAGTGTAAATGAGCTTAAGGAATAAGAATAGGGACATTGTCAAGGAATCTGTGACTGATGTTGGGAGCTGCTATTGATATCACCTTTCTTTACCCATGCAGGTAGGCAAATCCATGAAATTTCGAGGAAATATGATCTTATAGAGCTGCCTAGAGCAGTTGAATACCTTGACCAGATTCACAGATTTAGTATTTTTAAAGGCAGGACTCAAAAGCAAAAGTAAGGGGGCAGCTAAGTGGAACAGTTGATAGAGTACTGGCCCTGGAGTCAGGAGGACATAAGTTCAAATCCAGCCTCAGACACTTACTAACTATGTGACCCTGGGCAAGTCACTTAACTCTGATTACAAAAGTATGGAAATGAAAAAGCATGGGACAGGTTAAGGGACAGCATATAGCTTAGTTTAGTAAGAGCATAGCATAAATAAGGAAGAGCAGTGTGAGATAAAGCAGGAAAAGCAAGCTGGAACCAGATGGGAAGATTTCCTCATTGTTGTTTAACATTAAATAAAAGTGATTATCGCACTAAGCAGTTGTGTTTTCAAGTTAAAAGCTCAGATGGGAAATATTAATTGCTTTCTGTGCTGCACTGGAATTAACTCAATTTGTTCTTTCTGAGTCATCTCTTGTCTTGTATGTATCATTTAGGCTTGCTAATTGTCTTGATTCTTCAGAGGTGGTCTACGCTGTGACACAGCAAGAGTAGTGCTATATGCTATATTGACTCACTCCCTGTCTTATCAACATAACATGTTGTGATTTGGAAAATGGTCTTGGGAGAAGGACCCTTCCAGTTGTCTATGTTTATAACAGAACATTTTAAGGGGATAGAATGCTACTGTGGGGAGAGTAAGGGAAAAATATCATGGTGGGTAACCAGGTTGATAAGGAAGAGCTGGGTAATATGAGTGGTAATTGAGCTGAGAAAATTGAGTTCTTAAGGACTCCCCAAGCTATGCATCGTGTCTCATTTCCCTGAATCATTGACTCAAACATTTGGCAAAAACTCATGATTTTTAATATGTCAAAAAGAATCTGGAATGGGTGCGTCCATTCCTTCAGAAGTTGGTGAATATGTAAGCAGACGGTTTCTGATTCCTTCTTAAGTGTCAAGCAATATAATAGACAAGATGCACAGTGTATTATTCTTCTTTACTTTGAAACAATCTTTTAATCATTCATCAAAGAAGGAGGTCTATTATATGCTGGGTAAGGGAGGGAGACAAATTAAGTATTTGACATTGTTGCCTTTTAAGACAGTAGTTTATTTGAGGATAGAAGTGAATTGGTTTGGGGGAAAGAGTACTACAGTTGGACTTACAGGACCTGAGTTCAAATCTTACCTATGTGACCTTGAAGAAGTCCCTTAACCATACTGGGTGTAAGGGTCCAAACAAATTCAAGAAACATGGATCAAGTGCAAAATATGTGTGAGTCCACAAATATGTGTTGGAGATACAAGTCAGGAAAAAGAATACACCTAATCTCTAAAATGAGGGCTTTAGACTAATTTATCTATAAGATCATTTCCAGCTCTAAATCTGTGATCTGATGAAAAAGCAAAATGGCAATGAATGGCATGTTGTTATATGCACAATCACATAGCTATCCAAAGGCTTTAGAAAAAGGTGCAGAGGGTAATTGCCCCCCCCCCCAAAAGAATGGTTATTGAAACCATGAGGTTTTTTTTTGGGGGGGGAGGGATATGAATAGTAGGGACAATGGCTGTAACCAGAGGGAAAGGTCAATTTGGGTTGTAATGGTCAAGAGGAGTGGTAATAAGTAGAGGCAGTGTGTTCTTAGTATAGTGTACAGGTCAGTGTTAACACTACCTTAGCTGGAAAAGACACAGTTGGTATCTTTCTGGGATAAACTTTTAAAAGTAGTTTGGCCAAGTAGTTTGACCTTGCAGTCAATGTAACTTTCATCCCAGAAGTGTGTGAATGAAGCTCAGAAATAAGTGTACCAAAACCTCTATTGAAATGCATTAGAAAAGGCCCTCCAAGTGAGTGTTCCAAGAGGAAATGAAGATTTTTTGCAGCCCTTGACTTTCTGGGTAAGTTTTATTTGAAAACAAAGATGATGAGATGGAGAAAAACTGCAGACAGAAAAAAAATTCATTGGAAGACTCAAATACAACAAGTTGGGAGGAGGGGTTTATTTCTTAGATGAGAGATCTGAATACATTTACAATTTCTATAGGAAGGAAAAGCTAACAAAGACAGGTGCTTGGGCAGGAGTCCAAGCCAGGTACTCTTTTTGAGGTTTCCAATTTATACTCATGTGGCTCAGCTCAAATTCGGATGATTTGAAAAAGGATTATTCATCTTAATGTACAGCAGGATAGTTGATGAAGTCTCTAGGGGATGGGGTGAGGAAGGTGAACAGATGTATACAGGTTTGAGTACTCAGCAACAGGTTGGGCGGCAGCAAGTGGTTCTACAGCAGGTAGTCTGGCAACAGGTGGGGAGGCAGCACGTGGTCTGGCAGCAGACTGGACGACAACACGTGGGGCGGCAGCAAGGCTGGCAGCAGCTGGGGCGGCAGCAAATTGCGCGACAGCAAGTAGTTTGGCAGCGGGTGGGGCCGCAACACGTGGTCTGGCAGCAGGTGGGGCGGCAGCAAGTTGTGCGGCAACAAGTGGTTTGGCAGCATATGGGGCGACAGCAACTAGACTGGCTGCAGGAAGGGCGGCAGCAACTGGACACACCGCAGCTGGGACTGCAGCAGGTGCTCTGGGGGCAACAGCTGGGAGCGCAGCAGGTCTCTTGACAGAGGCCTTGGCCACAGCTCAGGTCAGAGCAGACGGAACCGCAACAGGAGTTGACCATGGTGCTGATGCACTGAGATTCTGGGTTGATTTCAAGGAGAGAGAGTTGTTATTTGAGTATGAAAGTGTCCTTGCCCCCACAGACCTCTTATATACTGTCCTGAGTGGCTGACATGGCCAATGACAGATTATTTCCTTGTCATTGTTTTTCATAATGGAAAAGTGACCATTAAATTAATTGGAGTTAATCATAAAAGAAAAAGTTATTTTCTTAGTTATTTAGGATTTATCTATCATGTTTTCCACCCTTGAATTGTCTTTTGTATTTTATTTTTTAGGTGTGTCACCCTTCATTACCTTTTATCCTCCTTCTCATTCAGGTTGATCACATGATAAAGTGACACCAACCCCTCAGTACATCATACAACATTCTCTGCTTATTTCAAATCATCCTATGACTTATGGTGGGCTAAATTCACAAAGGATGAAGATATTATCATGACATGATAGCAAACATCTTCCATATGGGTGGAAGCTGCACCTTAGCTTATTCGTGTAGCTCACTGTGTTTTCAAAAATTAAGTGTAGTTGGCCACCCTTCCTTGTGCCTCCATTTATAATCAAGAGTACAATATGTCCTGAGACAGAAAAGCAGATCATAGGCAGACTGCCAGAATTTAGCTCCCCATGGATGCTTTTGTTAGAGGGATGGTACCAGGTATTGGTGGCAGGAGTTGTGAGGTCCTACCAACTTGGAGTCAAGAGAATGTGTAGAGGGCTTCTTGAGGATGATGGGGTATTCATATTGGAGATTTTAGCCACCTGGAAAATGGGACTATGGAAGTCAAATGGTGTAATTAAAGAAATGGAAATAAAGTCCTAAGAGGAGATGAAAAGAGGTGTGATTAGAAATGGAAGCAAGTCTTTCTGTGGTGGCAAAGAATTGGAATTTCAGGGGATGCCCATCAATTGGGAAATGGCTGAACAAATTATAGTATATGAATGTAATGGAATATTGCTGTGCTATAAGACATGATGAGCAAATAGACTTCAGAAAAACCTGGAAAGACTTATATGAACTGATGCTGAGTGAAATGAGCAGAACCAGGAGAACATCGTATGCAGTAATAGTCACATTGTGTGTAATGATTGACTTTGATAGATTTGGCTCTTCTCAGCAATGCAAGGATCTAAGACAACTACAAAAGTCTCATGATGGAAAATGCTATCCACATCCAGAGTTAGAACAATGGAGTCTGAATGCAGATGAAAGGATATTATTTGCTCTCCTTTTCTTTTGTTGCTTTGTTTTATTGCTTCATTCTCGTGGTTTCTCCTATTAGTTCTAATTCATCTTTACATCATGACTAGTGAAAAAATATGCTTAATATTAAGGTATAAGTAGAGCCTATATCAGATTGCACACTGTCTTGGGGAGGGGGGAGGAGAAGAAGGGGGAGAAAAATCAAAACTCAAAATCTTATGGAAGTGTATGTTGAAAACTAAAAAAAAATTAAAAAATAAGAAATGGAAGCAAGTATAGACTCAAGAAGTGCTTGTATCCCTGGAATAAGAAGCTAATATAGGAGAGTAAGAGACTGATGTGGTCTTCCAGTGATATGTATAGGTACCCTGGAAAGCTACAGACTAAGACATAAGAGTTCCATACCTGGTGCAGCCCATTACTATTCATACTCCTTGACTTCTGCCTTCACTTCCAACATGGCCTTCACATGTGCAATGTCTCTACCTTTACAGTCTCCTCCTCTGATTGTTGAGTTCATCCCTGAACCTCCATTTGAGAAAGCATCCACACCAGCCATTCTCAACTGTAAACTCAGTCCCTAGACTTATTTTTGATCCTCTTACCTCCTCCACTTTCAACTCCCTTTTATGTGTTGTCTTTCCCTAGTAGACAATAAACTTCTCAAAGACCTGTAAACATTTAATAAAATCTCTATCTTTATCTATCTATCTTGATATATTTATCTATAGTTAGCATTTTGTCTAAATATCAAGGACAGAAATTGATAATGGAGTGAACTTTAGTCTTGGGATTCTGCTGGGGAAAACAAGTGTGGTGATGTACCCATTTGTGGAATAGTATATCATATTTTTGGAGGTTTCCTTTTTGGCTTCAATTAAATTTCATTTTAAAATGAATTCTTTACTCCTAGGTTTCTTTTAAAATTATGAGAACATAGTATCTAGACTTGAGTTTACTTTAAAGTTCCTGAGTTACATAATGAGTAGGGAGCTAAAGTCATGTGGAGTCACATTTACCAGAAAATACCCACCAAAAATATGAACTTGAGTCTCCGAAGAGTTATTGCAATTTAGCATAGGAGTAGCACTACTGTGAATAAGTTTCTCTTATAAAGGTCCTGCAAGTCTATGTTCATCTATAGGAAAGGGAGAAGAATCTTGAGGCTGTCCTGGAGCTATTAAGATAAAAAAAAATCCATTACCATTTATCACCAGGCATGCCTTGTCTAAAGGTCCAGAGTTAGCAATAATAACAATTAACAACAAGTAGCATTTATATAGTGCTTTAAGATTTGTAAAGTTCTTTGCATATAGAATGCCATTTGATCTTCAAGGTAAGTACTATTATTCTTCCCATTTTACAGATGAGAAGACAGAGACATTAAGTGGCTTTCCTGAGTTCACAAAGCAGCAATTATTGGAGTAAAGATTGGAACTCAGGACTTCCTAATCCCAAATACATCACTCTAGTCTCTATAAGTATATTCCAGGGACCAAACTTAAAATTGATACTAGGAAGCAAGCTTCTTTTTAGGCCCATAAAACTCATAATATCATGGTTGTAGAGCTGAAAGAGTCTTTTTGGATCATTTCATTCAAACACCACATTTTCAAGAAGAGAAAAGAGAGGCTCTGAAAAGGAGAATGAGTTGTCCAAGGTCACACAGGTCTCCTAAAACTAAGCCTATTGCCCTCTTCACTGCATTGCACTATATTGCTTCTCTCTGCTTACACACAAATTCACATTTGAACTAAGCCTTAAGGCATATATCACAATTTTTAAAATCCATTTATTGATTTTTTTAAATTTTTACATTTCTTTGATTTTTTTTCATGTGACCCTCCACTATACTTCTCAAGGCCTTTATAATAAAGATTTTTAAAAAACAAAAAGTAGGAAAAATCTAATACTTTGAAAGGCTGGAATAACATGCAATGTTTCATGCCTTCGTTTTTTAAAAATATTTTTTCAATTACATGTAAAAATAATTTATAACATTCATTTTTAAAAATTTTGAGTTTCAAATTTTCTCCCTCCCTCTGTCTCCTCCACCCTTAATTGAGAAGAGAAGCAGTTTGACATAGGTTATACCTGTGCAGTTACACAAAACATATTTTCACATTAATCATGTTGTAAAAAAAAACTCAGACAAAAAAACCCAAGAAAAATAAAGTGTTTTTTTTTTTTAAGCTTGCTTCAATGTGTATTCAGACTCTATCAGTTCTTTCTCTGGAGGTGGATAGCATTTTTCCATTATAAGTCCTTTGGAACTATGTGAGAGCATTATATTGCTGAGAATAGCTAAGTCATTCACAGTTGGTCATTATATAATATTACTATTACTGTGCACAGTGTTGACCTGGTTCTGCTCACTTCACTTTGCATCTGTTCATGCAAGTCTTTACAGGTTTTTTCTGAAATCATCCTGATTGCCTTTTCTTATAGCACAATGGTATTCTGTTACAATCATATACCACAACTTGTTCATCCATTCCCTAACTGATGGGCACCTCCTCAATTTCCAATTTTTTGCCACCACAAAAAATGCTGCTATAAATATTTTTGTACATGTAGGTCATATTCCTTTTTTTTAGTTGTCTTTGGGGTACAGACTTAGTAGTGATATTGCTGGATCAAAGTGTATGCACAGTTTTATATCCTTTTGTGCATAGTTCCAAATTGTTCTCTAGAATGGTTGGATTAGTTCACAACTCCACCAGTAGTTTGTTAGTGTACCTCTTTTCCCTCATTCCCTTTGGCATTTGTCCCATTCCCACATCCCCTCCAAATGTTTCAGATCTTTAGACCCCAACTTCTCCAAAGTATTGAAGATTTTCTTACATCTCTTCTTTTTTTTTAAAGTTCATTTTTTGGTGTCCCAGCCTTTTGTTTTATTAATTTATTTTTAGTTTTCAATATTCACTTCCATAAGCCTTTGAGTTGTAAATTTTCTCCTCCTCCCTCCTTACCTCCCCCCCAAGACAGCATGAAATCTGATATATGCTCTACATACACATTCCTATTAAACATATTTTCACATTAGTCATGTTGTAAAGAAGAATTAGAACCAATAGGAAGAACCACAAGAAAGAAGAAACAAAACACAACGGAAGAGAAAAAAAAAGAGCAAATAATATGCTTCGATCCGCATTCAAACTCCATAGTTCTTTCTCTGGATGTGGATAGCATTTTCCATCATGGGACTTTTGGAGATATCTTAGTTCCTTGCATTGTTGAGAAGAGCTAAGTACATCAAAGTTGGTCATCACGCAATGTTGCTGTTACTGTGTAGAACGTTCTCCTGGTTCTGCTCACTTTACTGAGCAACAGTCCATGTAAGTCCAGGTTTTTCTGAAGTCTGCTTGTTCATCATTTCTTATAGCACAGTAGTATTCCATTATATTCATATAACACAACTTGTTCAGCCATTCCCCAATTGATGGGCATCTGCTCAGTTTCCAATTTTTTGCCACCACAGAAAAAAACTGCTATAAATATTTTTGTACATGTGTGTCCTTTTCCAATTTGTATGATCTCTTCGGGCTACTTAGCTAGGAGTGGTATTGCTGGGTCAAAGTGTATGAACATTTTTATAGCCCTTTGAGCATAGTTCCAAATTGCTCTCCAAAATGATTGGATCATTTCACAATTCCACTAACAATGCATTAGTGTTCCAATTTTCCCACATCTTCTCCAACATTTATCATTTTCCTGTTTTGTCATGTTAGCCAATCTGATAGGTGTGATGTGGTACCTCAGAATTGTTTTGATTTGCATTTCTGTAATCAATAGTG